AATCATAATAAGCGTGGGGGATGTGCAGTTGCCTCCACAATTTCGAAACCTCTCATGCAGCCTGTACAAAAGGGATTCCTTCTGTGGCGGCCTTACACGAAGGTTTCCATTGTGGGGGGATCTGCAGTAGCGGCACCTTGAGCCCAGGAAAGCTAAAGAGAAAAACCATAAAAAACAAGAAAACCGGAAAGAAAGCCTATGCATTCATTCAAAGGGAAAAACCGAAGACCTTTGACAGTAGGTATTTTGATGGTGCAGAACATTCACGTGACTGCAAATACTATGATCATGCCGAACACTCACAAGCCTTCCTCGCTTTTTCCTACCTCCCCGTGTAACTACACAAGCAGATTACTGTCTGTCCCGTTTTTCCTGGTTTCCTCTCTAGCCTTCCTGGGCTCAAGGTGCCGCCACTGCAGATCCCCCCACCAGTAAAAACCTTGTGTGAGGCCGCCGCCAAAGAAATCCCTTTTGCACAGGCTGCTAAAAGAGGATTCTAACTGTGGAGAGATCCTTTTGTAAGGTCGCCAGAAGAGGAATCCTTTTTGTAAAGGCTGCTACAAAAAGATCTGCATTGTGAAACGTCTGCACTGTAAAAATACCGACAGTCAAAATAATTATTAGCTTGTTCCGGCTTTTCCCTGTGAAAACACCAGTTTGTTATTGCTGTTCCTGCTTTTCCTGTTTTCCTCTGAAGCTTTCCTGGGCTCAAGGTGCCGCCACTGCAGATCCCCCCACAATGGAAACCCTCTTGTAAGGCCGCCACAAAGGGAATCCGTTTTGTACAGGCTGCCATGAGAGGATTCGAAATTGTGGAGGCAACTGCACATCCCCCACAATGAATATCCTTTTGCAAGGTCGCCTTGTGTAAAGGCTGCTACAGAAGATTTGTTTTCAGTGTGGAGCGTACGCACCGAAAAAATATCGACAGCCGCAGGTTTTCCCAACTTTTTCCCATGTTCCCCCTGTGAATGCACAAGTTTTTTCCTGTTGTTTCTGCTTTTCTTGTTTTACTGGTAAGCTTCCGCTGCCCCTCCCCCCTCCTCCGCCCTCCCTCCTCATCCTTCCATCCTCCTCTAATGCAAATACGATAGGATTGCAATACGGAAAAAATGACCTCCTTACTCCATCCCCCTCCTCTTCCAATAGGAATGCGAGATCGGGGTTCCGCCGCCCCTCCCTTCCCCCTTCTCATACGGGAGCTTCATAGGAAAGCGGAACGCAATAGGAACCTCTCCCTCTCCCCTGCCCCTCCACCAGTAGGCATACCATCGGAAAGCAGTGCAAATATCTCATGAGAGTACCTTCGGGACTTCTCCACATCCCCCCTCCCCCGTACAATCTGTTGGGTCTGCGGGGCGAGCGAGCCTCTTCCTGTCAAAAGCTAGGCGGGCTACGCACAGCTTTTAGTAGGGAGACAGGGCACAGGCAGGCGGGGCCTCAGGTGGGCCCCTCCCCCATACAGACAAGGGGTCCCACGACCGCCCCCCCCCCCTCGGCACCGGGCCCCATCGGCGGAGGCAGGGGCCGAGCGCGCCCAGCGCAGCGCGCAGCTGGCGACGGCGCCCACCCTGCTCCCTGCGCCTTCTCCGCGGCACCCGCGCCCTCCCACCGCCGCAATGGTTTTCTGATCGGCGGGGCGAGAGCGAACCTCTCCCGCCAAAAGCTAGGCGGGCTACGCACAGCTTGAATCAGGGAGACAAGGCACAGGAAGGCGGCTCCCACCGCCACAATCCGTGTTACAGCGCACTGGAGTGGCGCTCCCAGCGCCGCGACCCCTCGTGCAGCACGCTGCGGTCGCGATCCCCGGGGGCCACGAGATCCCTCGCGAAACCGCGCGCTCCGCCTGGGCGCTCCGAAGGGCCCGGGCCCCTCGTGCACCTGCGCCGCGCCCGCGCTCCCGGCGCCACGGCCACCCGCGCATTGCGCTGCGCGCGCAGTCCCAGGGGCCAAGATCTCTCGCGACTCGTGCCGGGTTCGCGCTGCCACGGCCACGGTCCTCGTAGACTGCGCCGCGTCCGCTCCAAAAGGCAGGGTCCATCCTGAGCTAGGCCGCGTCCGCATTCCAGAAAGGAAGGAGAAGAGATGGGGGAGGACACTCCTCCTCCTGCTCCTCCTGCTCCTCCTCGAAATGCGCTGGCGCCATATCTGACATCCTCCTCTTCCCCCCCATCCCCTCCCATGGCGCTGATTGTTTCTCTCTCCACCGACAGGAGTCACGGCGGACCTGGAACCCCCACAAGGACTCCGTCATTCCATGCGCAGTCAGCACAAGGAGGAGGAGCAGGAGGAAGAGCAGGAGGATGAGCAGGCGGATGATCAGGAGGAAGAAGAGGAGGATGAGGGAGGAGGACAACGAGGAACAGCAGCAGCAGGAGTCGGAGAAGGGGAGGAGCAGCAGAACCAGGGGGGAAGGCGGAAGAGGAAAAAGGAGCGGGGCGACAACGACCAGGAAGGACTCGGGTCCAGAAAGTGTCCCGCACTGGGGAGCCCCATTCTGAACGACGGGAGCAAAACGCCGACCCTTGCTTGAGACCCACGCTGAAGCGGGAGCACCATTTTGAAACACCGAAAACGTTCCGATTGAAAAGCCCTGCGAAACAAGAAAACAACAAACGAAAAAACAGTCGGTTCAATGCGTGGGAAAGGCAATACTTACACGGAGAAGACGGGAGTCTTTCGGCACGTAATCGGGAGGGAGAGGAGATAGAGGCCTCACGGATGGGGTCGTAGAAGATGGGGTCGGCGGATCACGCCGCACCGCCGACGGCGACGCTTCGGCGACGTCGCCAATGCATGCGCGACGTCGGCGTGGAGAAGATCGGGCTCCACATCGAGCCACACCGCCGATGCATCGGCGATGCGGCGCGATCCTTCGACCTCATCTACTCTTAGGTCGGAAATGGCCCTCTACAGGCGGATCTGGACGAAAAAATAAAGATGGACAAAACATGCCCAAAATTGTCAAAAATAGTCGAAAAATCGCCCCCAGACTATATTTGTTTTGAATACTCCTCCTGTGGAGGGACAGGCCCGACTTAAATCTACTCCGACCCCACCTTGAGCATCGTGCCGCACGAGAGGAGTGCACAGCAAAGGCAAAGGGGGGAGCTGGCGAAGCAACTCACGCAGCTGATTCCCTTGGCGCCTCCCAGCGCCGGAGGCGCCCCACGTATCGAGGACTGGGCCCGGCGGCGGGGCCGAGAAAACCGGCAACACGCAGCAAATTTCGGACCCCCCCCTCCCTTCCCTATTCCCCCCCGTTTCGCCCTGGCGGCCCGCCACTGCTCCGGATTCACCCCCCTTTCCCCTGTTCCCCCCCACACCTCTCTCGTGCCGCACTGCAGACGGAGGAGGAGGGCATCGACGAGGAGAAAGAGGGAAGAGGAGGAGGAGGAAGGAGGAGGAGGAGGAGGAGGAGGAGGAGGAGAAGGAGGAGGAGGAGGGAGGCGGAGGAGGAGAAGGAGGAGCAAGAGGAGGAGGAGGAGGAAGAGGAGGAGGGTGAGGAGGAGGGGATGGAGAGGAGGGGTGGGAGGAGGATCAGAGGGGCTGGAGGAGGAGGCGGGGGGGAGGAGGAGGAGGAGGAGGGGGAGGGAGGAGGAGGAGGAGGAGGAGGAGGAGGAGGAGGAGGAGGAGGAGGAGGAGGCGGACGAGGACCAGTGGAAACCCAAGGGTCATCAACGATGTTGGAATTAACCCTTCCTCCAAGCTGCCTCATCATAGGCCCCTACAACGGTGAACTTCCATTTTGGGACTTCAACACAGCGAGTCAACATAACTGTTGCGCCCGCATAATCCTACATCCTTCCAAAACGCCATTCCTGGTGCGTTGATCATGGGAACCCATAAAACTCTTCCATTTTGATAATATAGAAATGAAGTGTGTATACATATGTACACTGTGCGCGACGCTGAGGCGAGAGCCGCATTTTGAAAATGAACCACCCTCAATCCGTGAAGCTATCGCTTTGAAAAAAACATGTATAGAAAACATACAAAGAAAAACAAAAACAAAAACAAACAAAAAAACGAATTTGCGCGGCGTTGATGCGAGAGCCACATTTTGAAAAGGATCCGCCCTCAACCCGTGAAACTCCTGCAATTGTTTTTTAACGAATGTGCGCGGCGCTAGGGCGAGAGTAACATTTTGAAAAGGACCCGCCCTCAATTCGCGAAACTATTGCAATTGTTTAAAACGAATGTGCGCGGCGCTAAGGCGAGAGCCGCATGTTGAAAACCGCCCGCCCTCAATCCGTGAATCTCTTGCAAATATTTAAAACGAATATGCGCGGCGCTAAACGAATGTGCGCGAGGCGAGAGCCACATTATGAAAGCGGCCCGCCCTCCATCTATGAAACTGCTGCCACTTTTTAAGCTGCAGAATCATAAATGGTGCGGAAGTCTCAGGCGAAACGCTAAGCCCACCCTAAAAACTGGCTTCGGGGTGCAACAGGAAGGAGATATCTATAAGGAGAAGGAATGGAGGAGGAGGAGGAGGAGGAGGAGGAGGAGGAGGAGGAAAACGCCGAGGAGGAGGAGGAGGATGAGGAGGAGGAGGGGGGAGTGGAGGAGAAGGTGGGAGGAGGGGGAGGAGGGGAAGAAGGAAGAGGAGAAGGGGGCGGGGAGGGGGAGGAAGGAGGAGAGGAGGAGGAGGGGAGGAGGAGGAGAAGGAGAAGGAGGAGGAGGACGAGGAGGAGGAGGGGAGGAGGAGGAGAAGAGGGAGGAAAGGGGGGAGGAGAGGAGGAGGAGAGGAGAGGAGGAGGAGGAGAAGAAGGAGCGAAGGAGGAGGAGGAGGAGGGAGGAGAGGGAGGAAGAGGAGGAGGAGGAGAAAGACGAGGAGGCGTGGAGGAGGAGGAGGAGGAGGAGGAGAAAGAGGAGGAGGAGGACGACGACGAGGAGGAGGCGGAGCCACGCGCGGCCGCCCTCCCGGCGCCCTGCACGCGTCCGCGGGCCGCCGGGCCTCAGGGCACCCCGCCGGCGGCGGAGCCCCGCGCCTCGGCCTACGACCTCCCCTCCCCCGTCCGCCCGAAGCGGGCGCGCGGCCGGACGCTCGACAACGGCGTCGACGACGACGACGACGACGTCGTCGACGACGACGACGACGACGACGACGACAGCGGCGGCGGCCGCGGGACTCACGGCCTCCCCTCTCTCTCGCCACACGCGGCTCGGGCGCGGCGAGGCCCCTTCGAGGGAGGGGATGTATCGAGGATCGAGGAGGGCAGAGGAGGATCGAGGCTCGAGGAGCTAGAGGAGGTCGAGGTTCGAGGATCGAGGTTCGAAGATCGGCGGTCGCAAATCGAGGCTCAAAAAATCAATGATTTTGAACAAAAGTGGCCCTCAAGGGACCTCTGGGGCGAGGTCGAGGAGGACCCAGACCCACTCGCGTCATGCAAAAAGCACGGCAAGAGATTTTGGCAATTTTCTGACTCTCGGCGCCCTCACTGGGCCACGTGGTTGCCAAAAAGCGACTCAGGATGAAAAGACTGTCCTGGGGAAGGAATCGAGACATCCAGGGATGCACGTTGTGAAAAGCTGAGACGTCTGAGGCCTGTGTGGGGATGAACAGAAAAGGAAGTTCGACGACGGTCGAGGAAGAAGCTCGAGGGAGTTCGAGGAGGTCCGAGGGGGGCTCCTGGAGGTCTTCGGTTCCCTGCGTGCTGTCCCTCAGCTGTACCTCGTCGAGAGGTGTCCGGGAAGCCCAACAAAGTCATCTGTGCGGTGTAACAACCTTGAGCCGAACACCTGCAGTGGGTTAGAGTAACAGGGCAATCACATCCGCGTTTAAGTGGCGTTGAACGGTGTGGTGCAAGGCAGTCTAGACAAGTCAGAGGTTTATTGGCAGGCGAGGTTGTACCGCCTGGACTGTGCTGAACCTTGTCAAATTCAATGGTCGGGATGGAAGCAACAACATTGGCATTCGATTGACGTTGAACCACGTACGGATAGCGTCGGAAAGATGACGCACACTATAATCTCCGAAAACCACGCTATTCCTGTGAGGTGATCTCCCGCAAGGGCCCCTTCTGTGCACGCTGTCCGCCTGCAATGGCCTCTGCGGCGCACAGCATCCACAAGCGATGACGTGTAATCAGCGGGCCAGCGGCGCCACAGCGCAAGCTACCCTTGCAACGGCAACCGTAGCATGCCTCTGTGGCACGAACGCATCGAACTTCAAGGGCATCGTCGCGCCTCGGTTGGGTTCGGGCACGCTGCCCGTGCAAACGACCCTGCCATCGACCTGCACTTCGCTGGGAGGGCTCCTCGTGTCAGGCCTCGGCACGTCTGGCGCGCATTCTGGGGAGACGGCACGAGACAGATGGCGCGGTGGAGGTCGGAGAAGGTCACCCGAAGATGGCTGGAGAGCGTTCTCTTTGTATTTCTGGTGGCGGTCATTGCGTATGGGGTTAGAGTACAAAGGTACAGAACCCCTGATCCGTAGGCAGAGGAAGGGGGGAAAGACAGGGATCTTTTCCTCCTGTGCGACCAGCGTCCTGGTCTCTTCCAGTACCTGAGCCGATAAGGCAGGCAAAGGGGCGAGTGAGGAGTCATCACTTGGGGAGGGGGGGGCCCTGGGTAGCGGCAACGCCTGGGCGGGGTGGGGCACGTTGGGGCGGAGATGCACTGCGATCGCCGCAGCATGTGCGCGAGAAGTGGCCAGGCCACCCCGATGTACGATCCTCACCGTTACACAGGGGGCCGGGGCGTTTTGAAAAAGAATCTCCTTGTCCGCCTATCGCGGCTTGGCCAGGCGGAACCGTGTATCAGTCGAAAGTCGTGCCTTGTCATCTCCTGGGGAAGCCGTTGGCAATCGTGATGGCGTGGGCCTCGAAGGCGTCGCGGTCCAGGTAGTGGCATGTGCGCTGCAAGAAAGTCATGAGCGGACTCGGCAGATCGCTGAAGTCGAAGTCGTCAGCTTGATATGTAGAGCTACTCTGCGCGAAGCTTGAGACTCTCCTTAAAAGCTGTGGCGACGATCTGGCAGCCATAGCTAGGGTTGGTTTTGCCTCTGGACAGCATTTCGCCAGTGTCCTGCAGCGGGGTCTTTGCCGCCAAGTGTTGGACAGGGCGTCTGCCTTGGTCACACATGCCTTGCCAGCTAATGCCCATGACTTGTGTGCAGCGTGGACATCCACACGGCAAGTTTGTTGGGGCTTCGGCATGCTGTCGAAGTGCGTACTGGTCGAATGAGGTGAGTGTGACCACCAGGCTGCACTGGAGTACATATACCATATACATCGACGCTGTGCCACACGCTGGCTGCTCTTCGTTCGCAGAACCCTGCTCAGGGTGCTCCAGGCGACTCGTGGCTCCCGCTCGGAGAGCGAGCAACATGAGATAGACTGCCTGAAGAAGTTGGTTAGTACTGCGGAGTTGACACTATTTTTTCCACGCAACAATGGTAATGCAGGATTGACAACCGATGACATCCACCAATGACCACGGTCGCCAGTCGCCCTGCGGAGGTGACACTGTTGCCGCCAGGTGGCATTGGGACAGCCCCGGTCGGCGGGGCTGATTCGACGGAAGCCAGAAGGGAGGCAGGAGTAAGGAAAAACAGGGAAGGGAGGAGGAGGAGGAGGAGGAAGAGAAGGAAGAGAATGAGGACGACGAGGAAGAGGAGGGGGAGGAGGAGGAGGAGGAGGAGGAGGAGGAGGAGGAGGAGGAGGAGGAGGAAGAGGAGGAGGAGGAGGAGAGGGAGGAGGATGAGGAGGAAGGAGGAATAAAGGAGGATTCACGAGAAGCACGAGGACGAGGACGAGCAGCAGCAGCAGCAGCAGGGGGAAGAGCAGGCGGAGCCCCGTCCAACACCCATGAACCAGGAACTAGTGCCTGAGGCACACACATAGACAAGCGCGTTCCATTACTCGCAAAGTATCTACTCACAAATGGCCTCGATCCACCATGGAAATTGTTCGGACGTTTGCGAGTAGGCTCATTGCGAGTAGCGGAACGCGCTCGGTGAACACAGAACGAGTTTGGGGTCGGAAGAAACGCACTCGTAGAAACACTCATGAGAGTCGGAGCTCGAGGCGCAGCATCCTCAAAATGTGCAAGACCTCAAAGAGATGCGCTCTGAGTCCTGGAACACACGATCTATAGACTGTCGGGGCGGGTAGATCCAGTCGAATACCTTTGAAAATGCGTATGCAGTAAGCCCTGTAGCCAACATGTGTGAGAGGACCTCCATCGCGAGAGACAATCTTGTAGCTCTGGGGAAACGAACTGTTCTGAATGGTAATCGGCGTCGCGTGTGAGTTTACCGCTTCGACAACACAGGCTTGCAGGACAGGGCTCCTTCGCTAGAACTGGTGCCTCGTCATTGTCAATCGATGGACTTCAACAATCGCTCTCTGCGAATCCGTTCGATATCTTACCGACTGTAAGAGAACAACATGAGAAACTTGGCCCTGCTAATCCCACCAGCCCTTTGGGCGTGAGTGGTTTAGAGAGCCCGCTCTGTTCTCAACCCCCTTCTTCCCCTTCGGGGAGGGGTTTACCCCTCCCCCTACCCCCTCCCCCTGGGCCTGGAGAGGGCGTTCCGCGGGTGGTCAGAGGGGTCGTTTTTGACTCCTGGGAGGGCTAAAAAACGACACCCCTCACGAGGATTCTGGCCCCGACGGGGGGAGGCAGAAAAAACCCTCTCCTCTTCTTTGAAGCCAAAATCAATGATTTTACTACGGTTTTGGCCCCATTTTGGCCTTCTGGGGGGGGCAGCGCTAATTAAAGCTCCCCTCTTTTTTCAAGCCAAAATCATTGATGTTACGAAGGTTTTGGCCCTATATTGCCCTTCTGAGGGGGCAGCGCTAATTAAAGCTCCCCTCTTCTTTGATCGATTTCCTCCAAGATGGCCCCAAGAAGCGCCCAGGAGGCACCAAGAGGCCTCAAGATGGCCCCAAGAGGCCCCCAGGAGGCCCCCAAGAGGCCTCCAAGAGGCCCCCAAGATGCCCCCAAGAGGCCCCCAAGAGGCCCCAAGAGGCTCCCCCGAGGCACCCAAGACGCTCCTGGAAGCCCCTGGGGCCGCCAAGAGGCCCCCAAGACGCCCCAAACGGCCTCCAAGAGGCTCCCAAGAGGCCCGAAGAGGCTCCCCCAAGGCACCCAAGACGCTCCTAGAAGCCCCTGGGGCCGCCAAGAGGCCCCCAAGACGCCCCAAAAGGGGACGAGGTGCCCGAACGCCTCACGCCACGAGGAGCCCGAACGACTCACACCAGGACGAGGGGCCCGAACGACTCACACCACGAAGAGCCCGAACGACTCACACCAGAAGGAGGGGCCCGAACGACTCACACCAGGACGAGGCGCCCGAACGACTCACACCACGAGGAGCCCGAACGACTCACACCACGACGAGGGCCCCGAACGACTCACACCACGAGGAGCCCGAACGAGTCACACCAGGAGGAGGGGCCCGAACGACTCACACCAGGATGAGGGGCCCGAACAACTCACACCACGAGAAGCCCGAACGACTCACACCAGGACGAAGAGCCCGAACGACTCACACCACGAAGAGCCCGAACGACTCACACCAGGAAGAAAGGCCCGAACGACTCACACCAGGACGAGAAACCCCAAACGACTCAAATCACGAGGAGCGCTTTCTCTCCCTCCTCCTCCGCCTCGTCCTTCTCCCGCTCCCCCCACAAGGAGGATGTACAAGGAGGCGGGAGGAAGGAGTAACAGGGGAGATATGCGGGGCCAAGCGGACACACGCCTGAAAAACACGACTGTCGGCATGCTTCGCAAGAGTTGTTGTTGTGAGATGGGCTGGTGGAGATACGCGAAGCGTAAAGAATTCGTGTCCCTCTCTTTACCCTGCTAGTGCTCTCATTGACTTCGCGTTGTACTGACATGCAGCTTTGCATTGCGTTGTTGCGCGATGGCTTGAAATACGTTACGCTAATCTAGGCTTCGCTCCGCTTCGCTTTGCCTCGGCCCACTAGACGTGTTGCTGTTTCGCTTGGCGCTGCGACTCTTCGATCGGTTCGCTTGGCTACGCCAAGAGGTGGCAGGCAAATTCAGAAACAACGTTGAACAGAGCCTGGATGAGCGCACAGTTTTGCCAGATTTCAAAAAGATTCCTCTTCTGGCAAGTCTCGTTTGAGCAAAGCTGCAACCTCCTCCTCTTCCTCCTTCTCCTCCTCCTCCTCCTCCTCCTCCTCCTCCTCCTCCTCCTCATGAACTTCGTTATCCCCCTCATCCGCCTCCTCCTCCACCCAAAGCATCATAATGAGATCCCAGGGCTTGACGCCGCGATGGCCGCATCCACGAAGCTTCAGAGGTCTCTGGTGGCGCTACCGCCAAGCCCTCGAGAACTCGCCCGAAGGCGACTGTCATGGATTCGTACGTGCACGCCTCTGTCTCCGACCGAAGGGTCGGCGGTCCTGCGATGCCACGAAGTTTCGCCAGCCGAAGCTCCTCTGGCAGGCGCCAGGGTGACGAGATGAAGGCGCGCTGAGATTCCTAAGCAACTACACAACGAACCTCGAAAGCGACCAACGGGGGGGTAGTCATGCGAACGATCCCTTCAGAAGCATAGCTCTAGGTCGGGCATGTCCCCCTACAGGCTGATTGTGGACGAAAAATACCCAAAAAGCATCGAACTTATCAAAAATGTTCAAAAAATCGTTCCCTGACAGTGTGTTGCCTTGTTTTTGAATATTCCTCCTGTAGAGGGACAGGCCCGACTTAAGCATAGCTGCTGCACGAGCCATGCCAATGCTACAGCGCAGCAAGAGGCACAAAAGCAGCGCAGGGGCTCATTGGGAACCGCACTGGGCAGCACGATACCAGTACGGCGCCATCCCCGCTGAGATGACACGGCGTGAGCCAACCGCCAAAAAAAGCGAGCGGGCCCGTCGGCCTCCTGAGCTTTCTCTTCGGCCGCGGCGTGGTGGAAGCGCGTCGTGGGGCCGCGGCCTGCTGGACAGAAGGCCTCGGTGGGTGGACCAGGGTGTGCACGCCGCACAAAAGGTAATGATTGCGAGAGATGCTAGGCCAAACCCAGCACAATACGATCGAACTGTCCTGGTGTGCAGTTGCAGAATACGATGGCAGTGGCCCAGAAATAACATCAACCTTGTACACACATAAGCACTGAACCCACGCACGCGCGCTTCGCGCGCACCTGGGTTCTAGCCGTACCTGAGGGGCTCACATCGCAAATTGCCAATGAGGAATTCAAAGCCAATTCTAGAGATCCCTCGGTGTCGGTGGTGGGAAAGACGGACAAAGACAGAAGCTCGTCGGCAGTGGGAACTGCTGCAATTCATGTTTGGGGCCCTGGCTGGCAACTTGTATGGGGGCACATGTGTTGGAGTGCGCTCTGGACTGTGTCGCGAGAGCGCGTCTCCCGTCAGTTCTGCAGCTAAACTGCTTACATATATACATATATAAACCTCTATATATATATACACCTATATAGCTAGATATACAGATTCTACCTACATACCTATATACCTATATAACTACATATGTATATGTATATATGTATATATGTGTGTGTTCATACATATCTACATATATGCATATACACATGTGCAAATACATATGTGTATATATATACACACACATGTAGCAGAGATCGGCAGGCAGGCGTGTCGAGAAACCGAGCGCAGGGCTCACACAGCGCCACCCGGCCAGCTGCGGGACGCCCCTACCACGGATCGTGCCTCCCTCCGGGAGCTCCACCCCATACGGTGCCAGAGTCAAGCTTTGCATGGCGCCCCTCCGCCCATTTCGACCCGCACCATTCACACGGAACGTGCCCCACTGAGAGTTCCACGCACGGCGCCACCGGAAGGATTCGTACAGCGTCCCTCCGCACATGTGGACGGGCCCCTCAAACGGATGGTGTCCCACAGGCAGCTCAAACGGCAGCCCCAGAGATCAGATTCGCATCCGCTCCACCCACAGCGAGACACCCCAGACAAGGATCGTGGCCCAAAGGGAGCTCCACCTACGGCCCCGAAGAGAAGGTTCGCATAGAGCTTCACGCCCATTTCGGCAAACCCCTCACACGGGTCGCGGCCCATAGGGAGCTACACCGACGGCTCCAACAGGAGGGGTCGCATGGCGTCCCTCCGCATATTCGGCACACCCCTGACGCGGATCGTAACCCGCAAGGATCTCCATCTGTGGCACCCATGGGCAATTTCGCATGGCGTCCTCACGCCCGTTTCGGCGCCGCTACACGCGGATTGCGCTCCACAAGGGGCTCCACCTACGGCCGCAGGGGAGACGCTCGCGCGGCGGCCACCCCCTTCACGCGGATCGCCCCCACAGGGAGCTCAGCAGGCCTAGGCGCGCTAGCCCCGCAGCGACCCCTTGTCAGGTCTGCCCCGCGGCACGCAGTATTTGACGAGAGAGCCGCACCCTGCGCTACACGCAGCTGCACAGGGGTGGGCCCTGTTCGCCAGACCAAGTGATTTCTATTTCCTCTTACCTGCGCACATCTTTGGGGTCTCGGAGGTCCTCTTGGGGCGGGAGGCTCGAAATTTCAGCTGGAGTTCCCCATTTTGGGTTCCTCTTGGAGTTCTTTGGGACCATTTGGGCCGTCTTGGGCGCCTCTCGGACCGTCTTCGGACGCTCTTGGGCCGTCTTGGGGCCTGATTGGGGGCCTATTGGGCCGTCTCGGGGGGATCTTGGGGGCCTCTGACGTCGTCAAGGACGGTACGAGGACCAAAAAAGCTAATATACTAAAATGAATGTTTTACATAAGGAATGGGACGATTCTTGCTTGTCGGGGCCCTCTTGGAGGACCTCTTAGAGGGGTCTTCAAGCGTCTTGAACGCCTCAGCGACCGTTCGAAACACCTCACAAGCCGTCGGACACCCCCTGTGGCCGTCTTGGGGGTGGTTCGCGATTGTCTCCGGGGCGCTTTTGGGACCCCCAAGGGCGGGCCCCGCCCCCGGGCCCCACGTTTGACATTGTGGTCGTGGCCCCTGGGGTCCTTGGCCTGGTCCCCCTACATACATACATACATGCATGCATGCATGCATGCATACGGACATACGTACATACGTACATACAGACAGACACACATACAGTCAAACATATGCATATATATGATATAACATCATAGTATATCACATTGCATCATAGTATATCACATTACATTTACATTACACTTAAAATACCTTACATTACGCTACATTTAAACCACAGATAATTACACTTACAGTACCTTACATTACACTACAGTTACATCACGGTTGCATTACATTACAATACATTACATCAAATTACATCATCACATTAGGACACATTACATTACAGTACACAACATCACGTGTAAATGCATTACATTGCATCATTGTATTACATAGCGGTACACTGAAACATCTTATGTTACGATATAGTGCATTGCATTGATGGCATGACATTCCATACAATCATACCTACGTACATGCATGAATGCATGCATGCATGCATACATACATACATACAGACATGCACCCATGCATAACTTACATGCATGCCTTACATACCAGTATATACATACACACATTCAATGCATTGCATTGCATTACATTACACTACATCACATTACGCAGCATTACAAAGCATATCGTTACAATACAACACATTACACTACACTACATACATTACATCACATTACATTACATTACAGTACAGTACAGTACAATACACTGCATCACCGTACACGCCCTTACATCACACTAGCTTACATTATATTATATTACAATGCATTACATTGCATTACATTACATACAGGCATACACCTAAACCTACGCACGTAAGTACATACATACATACAAACATGCATAGACGTACATGTGTGTGTGCACAAGTGTACACACACGCGCATACAGACCTACATACATGTAAATAGATGTTGATCGATTCCTCCTCTATATGTTGACAAGCTGGGGGGGGAAGAAAAAACCCTCACCCCCCCAAAAACTGACCCCCAGGATCGAGAGTTTCTGGACCCCCTGGACATCCTTGCCAAAGGTCCCCCGGCTCGTCCCGGACCTCCCAGGGCGCTTAGCCGGGTCCTGCCAGCAGGCCCCAAGCGATCAGAGCGGTGATCTGAGAGGCCGAAGGGAGACCTGAAACAGCACAAGAGCGCTCCAAGAACGACCCAGAAGGCCTCCGAAGGCCCCCAAGGCGGCCCAGGAGGCCCTCAACAGGGTTCCCAGAATGGAAAAATCGCCTCATTCCCTTAGGGAAACGTGCATTTTCAGCACATTCGCTGTTCGGGCCTTTGCAGCGTCCAAGACAGCAAGACAGCCAAGAAGGCCCCCCGTGTCGCCCCAAGACGGCCCAACGGACCCCAAAAAAAGCCTATCAACGACCTGGATGGCCCCAAGACTGCCCAAGGAAGCCCCAACTGAGCCATAAAGAGGCCCAACAGGCCCTCACAAGGCCCCGAAGCGATCAGAGCGGTGATCAGAGAGGCCGAAGAAAGACAGGCCTTCAGTGGCCCCCAAGACGGCCCAGAAGGCCCTTAACAGGGCTCCCAGAAAGCAAAAATCGCCTCATTCCCTTAGGGAAACGTGCATTATCAGCACATTCGCTGTTCGGGTTTTTGCAGCGTCCAAGACGGCCAAGAAGGCCTCCAGTATCGCCCCAAAACGGTCCTAGAGACCCCCAAGAGAGCCTCTAGACGGCCTGGACAGCCCCAAGAAGGCCCAAGGAAACCCCAAATGCACCAAAAAGAGGCCGAACAGGCCTTCACAAGGCCCCAAGAGAAGCCCAAGAAGGCCATGGGAGGCCCCTCAAAAGGTCATGGGAGGCCAACAGGAGGGCCTACGTAGCCCCCGTAAGGTCCCTAGAGGGCCCAAGCTCTCCAACGCGGCCCAAGATGGCGCCAAAACGGCTTGAGACGGCCCCAAACCGGCCGGCCCACCAGGGCTCCAACAAGGCTCACACGGCGCTTTACACCAGACTGACCCGAGTCCCGGGCTCGCAACCGCAAATCCCGGAAATCTGCTGCGAACCCGGGATTGGGTGCATTCCCTAAGAATGACTTGCGTTCGCGTGCCCCGTTGCGACCCGCTGCAACCCGCTGCAACATTCTTCGCCGTCCCCCCGGCGCCCTCCTCCTCCTCTTTTTGCCGCTTCACCACTCGTCCTCCCCAACATCCGCTTCCTTTCTTCGCTCTCCGAGATTCTCTCCCTCCTATCCTCCGCCTTCCACCCTGCGCCTTCCGGGAGCCCCCAGAGGCCCGGGAAGGGCTAAGGATGGCGCCAATGACCAACAGATGCAAAGCCTCAAGGACCAAGGTGCATGGCGCGAAGCGCCAATGCCGTCCTGTGTATCTACATCTGTATAACCATATATAAATATACACCAGCACGCATGCAAACTCATGAACAATGGCATGGCAAACAAATACGGCGCACTACCATCATAGAGGTCGTATGGCGCGCAACAGATCGTGGACCTGTCACTGGATGGCTACACGGCGTGTATCAGGCTGAAAGACAACACCGTCGCTGTCGTACAGCGTCATCCAACCAGCGCGTCGCTTGAAACTGACATAGCATATGCGGAATACTTGGCCCGTTCGTTTGGTATGCCTTGCGCCTGACTGTACGCGAATGCCAACGTCCATCGACACCCCCTCTCCAAGGGTGCAAGAATAGTTGGGATGTGTCGATGTCCACCTCGATGTTCTCCCACTACATAATGGCTCCGAGCCCTGCTTGACCGGAAACGCCGAACGCATCAAAGCACCTCCCAGGCCCTTGAGAAGCCCAAGGCGGTTCAAGATAGCCCGAAGCAAGGGAGCCCAAGATGGCCGCCAGCACCATCCATGTTGGTCTAAAACTGCTTCCAGGACGGCCAGTAAATGCCAATGCCCCAAGATGCCCCCGAGCTCTCCCCCAATTATCCCCTGCACCTCCCAAATAGGCCCCCGAAAGGCATACGCGTGCATGCACGTGTAGCCGACCCTTTCCAGTCACCCACTTGCTCATCGATTGTGCTCAGCAGCTGTCAACTGGTCCCGACTCCGCTTGCACGCACTGCCCGTGGGCAGCTCGCTGCACACGGGAGGAGGAGGAGGAGGAGGAGGAGGAACAGGAGGAGGAGGAGGAGGATGAGGAGGAGGAGGAGGATGACCTCGAGGAAGAGGCGAGAGGAGAGGGGGGGGGGGGGAGGGGGGAGGAGGAGAGGAGGAGAGGGAGGGAGAGAGGAAGGAGGGAGGAGGAGGAGGAGGAGGAGGAGGAGGAGGAGGAGGATGAGGAGGAGGAGGAGGAGGAGCGCTCGAGCGGCAAACGCTGGTGAACCACGCCGATGCGAGTGGCGCACCGTACGGGAAGACGAGGGGAGCGGTGGCGGCCGCGGGCAGACGGGGAGGCCCCCGCCTTGGGAGCAGGGGGAGCCCAGTGGGGCAGCAGCCTCGGCAGGTGGTCCTTGCAGCTTGCACGAATATAATCTATATATATATGTGTATAAGGGGGAAACAACAACAACAACAACAACAACAACAACAACAACAACAACAACAACAACAACAACAACAACAACAACAACAACAACAACAACAACAACAACAACAACACCAACAACAACAACAACAACAACAATAACAACAACAACAACCCCCCCCCCCCCAAAAAAAAAAAAAAACTTGGCGCTCCGCACGGATGTCTTGGAGTCGCGCTGAATCCAAAAAAAACGCGCGGAGCGCCAAAAGTTTACACGCCCGTCGGAAGAAGTAGGTAGGAGCGTGAAGCAGGAAGGCGGATAAAGCAGATTGGGTCTAGGTCCTCCCAGAGAATAACAAAACACAGCAAAAGCATGTCGATTCCTGAAGTGGGAAGGCGCTTGAAGTAGATTGGGATCTGGGAGTCCAAAAATACCTACTTTCAACGACCGGCGTGTATGTTTGTGTGATCTGTTCTTCTTCGAATCGGGAGCGGCCAAGAGGGAGGTGTCCAAGAGGGGGGGTGCAAATCATGACCGGCGGCATGTGCGCGGCCCAGCGGGGGGGGGGGGCCAGGGACGTAATGAAATAAGAAGAGGCGCCATGAAATCTGGGGAAATATCATGCCCCCCGCCATGATATCCACCCCCCCCTCTTTTCGGTCCCCGATCTTCGAACGAACGTGCACACTGACGAGCTGCGTGCCGGACCCGCGACGGTGTCCCGCCCCCCCCACGCCAAACCCGCAGCAGGCTTTTGTTCGTTGGCGGCGCCGGCGGACGCGGGCGCGACTGCGGAGCCAACGGGCCGCGCCTCTCCCTGGGCACGCTGGAGGGTTTCTACGAAGGGCTTAGGCGACCTGTCCTCCTCCTCCTCCTCCTCCTCCTCCTGGTCCTCCTCCTCCTCCTCCCAGGACGGCAGGAGGAGAGGGGGAGGCCCCGGCCGTGGATAGTCGGCGAAACAACTAGCAGCAGGCAGACCGCCGCTGGATATCCGCGCAGAGCCCGAACGGACCCGGCGACCTGTCAGGCCAAGGCATCGAACTGACGCCAAGCTGAACACCGACTCCGACTGACAGACAAAAACACTCCCTGGCAGGCCCCAGCTGAGACAGCGGAACCATGAAAACACATCTGACTCCAAGTCGACTGCCCCCCGATCGACTCCAGGTACCTTCTTCTGCACGCTCGGCTCCCCATTCCAGAGCAAGTGGAGAGCGTAGTTTCGTGCGCTGATCAAACCCAGAGAACTTTTGGAGTGCAGCCTCTGCTCCCCGACGGACGGGAATTACCAGTCGTGCAAACGGATGGCCGTACCTTCTGTGTCCCCTTCGACGTCACCGTTGGCTCAAGCTGAAATACCTTCAGCAGTGTCCAGTGTCTCGAACCTACCTGATGATGGCTATCTCACGCGAACGATTATGGAATCCTGAATGTTCTACTGAACTATCGCACGAGCCTCTCTGCGAGCGCAGCAGGTTGGCGATCTAGACGTGCCTGCTAGTTGCGTCTGTTGTAGCAGCGGCAGACGGCCCAGAGCGACGTTGTTGCTGCAGCAGGCCCAATGGCAGATTGCAAATATGATGTTCAGGGTTCGCCGCTCGGGATAGGTTCCGTACACACATACACCACATACTACAGACAGGGGCACATCTACACAAATTCTCAAATGTTTGAACTACACTCTGCCATTCCACCAGGCTACGGCACTCTACTCTTCAGTACCCATATGTGAACAGAAAATACGCTCCACTACGTCGCTGGTCATGAAAAAACTGTCCCTACTACGTCATGCGATATCACGTGCAAAAACCTGCACCATGCGAGATCAAACCTTGAGCAAGACGCATGCACGTTAGAACCATTATTATGCAGGGGCTAGAAACTTCCAAGGTTGTTTGTTATTCGCAAGATCCTTTGGATAACGAGTGTCAAACAAGTCCATGCTCCCTTCAACTCTGCTCCATAAGTGAAAATTCCCTGTTTGATTCACATGGTCTCATCGAAAAAGACAAGTAGCGCCTCGAACGCGACGTCTTGATAACTGGACGCTTCTTGCACCTCGCCCAACGCATCTTGATCCCTGCATGCTCGTTACGGCCCCTGCACGCATGCCGATGAGACAGGAAACAGCCCCACGCATTTGAAATGGCAGCACAAATCCGCCGATCCTGTCGGCGTTTGGAAGAAGCTGTTACATTTCAGTCGTTGACGTCGTCGTCGTCATCGTCGTCGTCATCGTCGTCGTCGTCGCACCGTTGTCGTCGTCGCCGTCGCTGTCGGTGTCGCCGTCGTCGTCGTCGTCGTCGCTGTCGCCGCCCGAAACAAAAAGGAATCGAACACCGTCGCAATCGTGGTGAAGCCGCTCCCTACCCTCCCCCAGCGGGGGGGGGTCCGTGATGGTTCGCATCCTGGACCTTTCTGTCGACCGGGTTCCCCAGCACGAATGCAGCCCACCGAAAGCCGATCGGCGCAGTAGTGCCGCCGGCTCTCGTCGAGCTCTAGCCCATGGAATGGGCCTCGAAAAACCGGGGGGCGAAGAGAACATCGACATGGCTAGGGAAGAGTCTGCATACGGGGGCCCAGCAAGGCCCCACGACGGTCAAGAGGCCCCCAAGACAGTCTAAAAGGGCCCCGAATCGCGGAACGGTCGCTCGCAGGCGCCACAGCAGCCTCCAGACGGCCCAAGAGTTTTCCAAGACTGGTCCCAAGACGGCACCAGAAGACCCCAAAAAGGCCCAAGAGCGCCCCAAGAAGCGTCCCAGGAGGGCCCTAAGAGGCCAAGATCAACGATTTTCCTTTGGTTTTTCAAAGATTGCTTCGTTTCCGCATGTTCGGCTCTCCGACGCTCCAAGACGGCCCAAGGTGCCCCCAAGTTCGCCCCAAGACGGCAGAAGAGGGTCCCAAGAGGGCCCCAAGACAGCCCAAAAGGGCCCCAAGACTGCCCAAGAGCCGTCCAAGACAGCTCAAGAGGGCCCCAAAACGGCTCCAAGAGGGGCCCCAAAAAGGGACCACGAACGGAAAATGCTAGCCTTCCGCCGCCACCACCACCACCAACCACCCCCCAACCACCCCGAGAGGCCCTGAGGAGGCCCCAGGAGGCCCCCAAGAGGCCCCCAAGAGGCCCTCAAGAAACCGTTAGAAGCCTCCAAAAGAGGCCGCAAGACGCCCCCAGGAGCATCACAACAGGCCCCCAAGACGCTCCCAAGAGGCCCCAAAACTACCCCCGTCGCCGTCGTCGTCGTCGTCGTCGCCGTCGTCGTCGTCGACGTCGTTGTGGCCGTCGTTGCCGTCACTGTCGCCGTCGCCGTCGCCGTCGCCGTTGACGTTGTCGCCCTTCAGGGTCGGCGGCATCAGCCGTGAGGCCTTCGCAATAAACAGACGAGAGGTTCAACACACAGCGGTATTCGCACACAGAACCTCATCACGTTGGCAATGCATATAAGGCCGTACAAACTTTCAAAAGATAGACGAAGCACGTGCCAACGCCTGGATCAGACCTTCCAGGAAATGCTAGCTAGCACTTTGTGCACACTTGTATTCCTACGCCAATCCGCTCTTGATGCCAGCTCATACCTCCACGGAAACATCTTGCGCGACCGAGAGCGCCGTACTGTCTAGAAATCAATAAACCCCCTCCCCCCTCCCCCGCCAAAAAAACAAACGCGGACGGACAAACGGAAAAAGCTTGCCCCGCACGAGCAATTCGAAAATATTGAAGACAAGGCAGATCAATGAGATTGGTGGCAACCGATCGAAACACGGCTGCGATAAAGCCGAAGCGAAGAAAAATCAGCGGCGGCGAAGGACGGGACGCCGGGAACAATCAAGGTCAAGAACGAACACGGGACATCGGCGGCGACCAGAAGGCAACACCAGGGCCAGGGACGGCCAGCGACGAGGCCGAGCCAAGAAAACTATAGGAAACAGCGGAGCACCAAAACCGGGGACAGTCTGGGGCAAAGGTCTGCGATGACGGTAGGCTTGTCGGGCATGTCTACAGACGGATTTTGGAAGAAAAAAGATGTTGACAAAACAAAAAAAAAAAAACGAAACATCGCCCCCAAAGCATTGTTTGATTACTATTTGGATACTCCTCCTGTAGAGGGACATGCCCGATTTAACGGTAGGCAGCGCTGGGGCCAGGAACAAGTCGGCGACAAAGCCGGACCAACGAAATCGGCGGCAGCGGAAGGGCAGCACCGGGGCCGAACGCATCCAAGGACACCTGCGAAGTGGCGGCTACGACGGCAGCGGCAGCACCAGGGCCAGGGACAGCCAGGCACGAGGCCGAATCGAGACGATCACGGCAACGGAAGGCAGCAGCACGGAGCAGGGCGAGCAAAGTCGGAACAGCCAGGGACAAGGCCGAAGCAAAAACAACGGCGTCAAGACCAGCACCATGGCCAAAGACAATCGGGCTTGAGGTCGAATCAAAAAATAGCAATACCAAAAACCGGGACAGTCGGACCCAATGCCGACCCAAAGAAGGCAAGCTCGAACATGGCTGGAGGACAGCACCAAAACTGAACACAACCGGGGATATGGCGAACCAAGGACATCGGGGGCAACACAAGGGCAGCACCAGGATCGGGGACAGCCTGAAAAAAAGCCGAGCAAAAGGCATTGGAAAGACAACACAAGGGCAAGGCACAAATAAGGCTGAACCGAAGTCGGCAGGAACGGAGAGCAACACGAAAACTGAGACAGCTGGAACCTGGGCGATGTCTCCGGAAACACATTCCCAGTTTGCGTTGACTGTGCGCAAGTAGCATAAACACTAAATGAGGTATCGTTGCACATCGATTGAACAACTCTCCTGCTGCTTGTGTTGTTTCCATGCCCTGCAACTGCCTCAACACACAACTGGAGACCCATACCGTCCGTCACCCTTCCCCACCCCCTGAAAAAGAAGCGAAAAACCGCCCCACTACGCAACGATCCAGAGCGTCCTCACACTGGCCAAACGCCACCAATGCACCCCAAGACGTCCCCAAGTCACTCTTCAACCGTGCCAAGACGTATCCAAAACACCAGCGCCCCAAGAGGATCCCAAGACGTTGTAAGATAGTTCCAGCAACATCCAAAAAAATCCAAACAGGTGTTCCACGATCCCCGTGACCCGCCACACTGCGAACCCCTAAAATCCATCGAAAACAAATTCAAACCACACCGGCAAGCGAGAAAGCCGCAAACGCACTCCCATAATTTCTGAAGGGTTTGATGTTTCAGCATGGTAGTGATGCTGCGTGTGGCCCGTGGGTGATGCGTGCTGTTGCTCCACGTTCTGATTTGCTGCTACGTTTGCTGTGGCCGGCTGCGTCGGTTTGTTCCTGACTGATGGTTATGCTGTTGTCGGCGCGGTTGGTGCTGCTTTCTGATGCTGTTCGCATTTGTTTTTCTACTTCTGAATTGGTACTGCCAACATGAGCACCCCATAAGTCTCGTGAACATCAAGGCACGTCAAAATGCCTGGCGCTTGCACTCGCCTCGCACGGCCCTGGGGGGGGGGGAGGAGGAAGCCTCCCCCAGGAGCGGAGGGTGCGGACCCGACCCATCTGCCCCGCAGCGCGCGGCCTCTCCGAGGCCAAGCGGGCAGACGCCGGTCGGGCCCGTGGGGGAGCACCACCCCCCCCCCACACCCCCAGGGCGGGTAGGGCGGGCCAACGACAGCTCGTGGTCACTATGGACCAGAAGAGAGGGCCCCATTGGGCACGTGAACGCAGCAGGCCGCTATGGGCCGCAACGAAGCCACTATGGGCCGCAAGGAAGCCACTATGGGCCGAGCGAAGCCCCCAGAGGGCGGAGGGCCGAAACCCGACACACGGCACGGTATTTATATCCCGCCCCAGTGCCAGGCGGAGGAAGCACGGCACGGCACTGCACCACACGACGCGAGCGGGAGGCGGAAGAGGGTCGACCAGCGCGCGGCCGACCAGCCGAGCGAGGGCGCCCCCGCGGCCAGCCGCGGGGTCGTTCACAGCGCGGGCGGATTTGTGCCAAGCAATAACTTCGTTATTCCGACCCCACAAATCCTGGCGCTTGCACTCGCCTCGCACGGCCCTGGGGGGGGGGGGAGGAGGAAGCCTCCCCCAGGAGCGGAGGGTGCGGACCCGACCCATCTGCCCCGCAGCGCGCGGCCTCTCCGAGGCCAAGCGGGCAGACGCCGGTCGGGCCCGTGGGGGAGCACCACCCACTGCAACGGCGCTCCCGCGGGCCACGCCCGGCGCTGCCACCCACTGCCCCCGCGTGCCGGGGGTGCGCCCACGTGTGTGCCGTGCAGACACGACCACCAGACTGCGCGGGGTGCTCAGCCATCGCCATCGTCGCTGGACGACTCTGCCAAATGGGCTTCCGCGACCGACTGCCGCTCGAGCCGGGAAACGTTAAGGTATTTCATCCACGCGGGCTGATGCCAGCCGCCCGCGCGAAGAAGGTCGGTGACCGGTCCGCCCCTGGCAGCGATGTCCTGCGCGTGCCCGCGCCTGAACGCGTGAGTGCCGAATGATTCCGCGTCGTGGCGCCCCATTTCGCCCAGCGCGCGGCGCAGCCGAGCACGTGCCGCGCCTGGGGACCACGCAGCCCAGATGGGCTGATGAGCTGGCTCGCCAACTAGCCAGGCCCCAAGAACGTGTACGGGACAGGTGACCGCGCACTCGTCGCACCAGCACTGCCGTGCCATCACCGAGCGGCTCTCGCGGTTCTTTCTCCTGGAGAGGTGCAGCTCGATCTTTTGATCGCCGACGACGAACGCGGAGGCCACGCAAGCCGCGGCCGCGCCATCTTCAACCCGCACCGCGGGCAGGGCCTCCGAGGGTAGCCGAAGGAGGAATGCGTAGGCCGCCAGGCACAACATGGCGAAACGGCGACCCTCGTCACTGACGCGCAGGTGCGACACCAGACGGGCGACGTCGCGGCCCTGAAGGGCCATGCGCGCCTTCGCCTGCCAGCCCGAACGCTTCTCGATGGCGTTCTTAGCGGCGCGAACCGCCGGGTGCCTGAAGACTTCCACGGGCCTTGCGCGCCAACTGCCGCCGCGGGCGGACGCGCGCGTTGCCGGA